AAGTAAATTTGAACATGATCCAGAAATGCTGCCATCTTCTCTGAGCCAAAGTCTTTTAAAATGGACTGAGACGAACTGGAAAAGGCAACATTAATGCTAGAAAGTTTCAGACAAACACGCTCCCGTGCACAGAAGTCGTCTTTTTGATTTTTGGCGAGATGCTAAACCGCATCTGTTACTCGAGCATGGCTTCATAGTAGAAGAGCCTGGGTGCTGAACTGGAGAAACTTCCTCCTGACTCATTTCTTTGTACTGAAATGTGGTGCTTTTAGAACTCACAGCTTCTTTCACAACAACATGACCATTAACTCTCTGCATGTATGTGTAAAACTTCAGAAGGTCAACACGCAGATTTAAGGAAGTGAAACGTTTACCAACATGAACACACAAATTGTTTTTTGGAAAAAGGATTTAAACCATTTTCATGTTTGTGTATAAGGAACTGTGAGACAGTTGGGGGGAATACAGACGGGGCCATGAGTATCTTATTTTAAATTTTGCAACGCACAAAAACTCTCAAGATGTGGTTGCTTGGCAGGTGTTTACTGCAGGATGAAATCCAATGGGAGCATTTATGCAGAGTTTACAGTGTTTTATGCAACAAACTGGCTCTTATTCTGCAAACTCTTTGTTTTCATACATGGTTTAAATGGTGTTTAGTTAATACTTTATTCTTTTTTTACACGATGTGATCTTCTTATTCTAAACGTTCATTTGTACGTGCATATGAAGCAAGCCCAATACGTCTGAGGAGGAAGCTTTTTAGACAGATCAGACTAAACAAAAGCTGTAAGCTGCAGGCCACAAAACCAAGATAATAACTTTCCTTAATCTTAAGGTAGGATAATCTTGATTCATCGAATGCAACTAGTGGAGACAAGGAAAAAAATAACAGTAAGATTAATGGGGAAACCGGTCTACACTACTTCCTGTGAAACAAGTTAAACTTCGCGTCTGGCCACAGGCTTTGTAAAAGTTGCATCACTCCTGGCGAAACCCTCTTTTCAGGCAGGAAAGGTTTGGCTGCTCTTGCGCAGCGAATCCTGCTCTCCCAGATCGAGATCTAGTGTTGGATGCATGCACACACAAGCATAAACACTCAGAAGAGAACACAATAAAGCGATTGCCCGTACGCATTCCAGGAAAAATCCCCGAACCGCACAGTGAATAGATGGATCCCAACGGCTAAAGTTTGAGGTTATTACTGTAAAGACAAGATTAAGATGAGATATTTACAACTTTCCACTTCATGCAATTGTTTGTGTTGGAATTGTAGACTGATATCTTTGCGTAGACATGCCAAGAGCACGGTTTGGGAAAGAGCAGTTTCCCAAACCACAAAATGATACTATCACTATGCAGGTCTTCACACCTCAGTGTAGTGGACGACAATTCTGTTCAAATCGAATGCACCTAAAGCTAAAAAAGGCCCTAAAGGCAACACTGAATAATTTTTAAAAAGGTATTTAAATTTGCAGATCCATCTGCAAAGAATAGAATTCAATAAATACATTTAAAGACATTATAGGAGACTCTGCTTGAACATTATTTCCCTGTTCGACCAACAATATTCGTAGCTTTAAATATTATATTCTCCCTGTTTTTGAATCTCATTCTTGATCTTCTGCACAAATAAACTGTTTTTGTGCATTTGCACATGTGTTGTTGTTTGTGGAATCACGGTTGGTTGAACTGCTGTTTATGTTGGCCAAGACAGCCTTGAAAATGCTTCTTCAAATCAAGAAGGCCTGAATGTCCATGAGCCTTTTGTTCCATCTGAGCCTCTTGGGTTTTCTCCAGGTTTCTTCCCACAGTGCAAAGTTAGTTTAAATGATTTTTCTCCCCATATGGAAAAGATATATATATATATATAAATCTTATAAAGTTTGTATCTGTCTTGTGTGAAACTTGCATGAAAAGCATACAAGAGTGAAAACAGATAATATCCCTTGAAAAATTATATAAATGAAACATGTTTTGGATACTTACTAAAACAATATATGAAAGTGGCCACTTTCATGAGTGAATCATATAAGCCTTATATGATTCACGATATGAAGTAGGCCACATCTGATGCAAGTCTTTTATAAGTTTTTACTTTTCTATATGGGTCAGCTGTACGTCGGTGCAAGTGTGGTCTCCATGAGTCTCCAGTGGTTCATAAAACTACAATAATACTTAATTTCTAATTGAAGTCAATTTTGTTAAAAGCTGTAACATAAACCTAAAGCTTTAATGAGGTCAAATGAGCACAGGATTCTTGAAGCTCTGCCAGTGCTGACATGCAGCCAGTGTGAAAAACGTGTTCAAACACAGCTCACTTCAGAGTGAAATGTGGCATCACAAATGAGACCTTTTTTTGTGGTTTCGAGCATGTTTGAAAGCAAATGACGCACAAAACACTTCTTAGCTTCGTATTTGACTGATTTTGTGTTATGAGCCAAATCTGATAACTTTCCCTCCATGTATGACAAACCATGTTGTGTAGTTGGCGCTCCATGTGCTCATCCACTCAATGATGCAAATACCTGAGCTATACAAGTTTTGCAAGAATTGTTTGGTTTTGCAGAAATGCGTCGTGTTAACCTGCTTTGATATGTAGTGTGGTGTGTAGTGCACCAAAATAGCCTAAAAACAATTTGCAGTCATGATGCAGCAGCACAGCTGTGGATGCAGATATCAGCTAGTTCCCCCTTTTTTAATATTGCTTAATAGAAGCTTAAATTACACATGCCTGAGCTTTCTCCAGGATTTTCACTTGAGCAGACACTAGTGTGCTTCTCACCCTGTGAAAGGGAAAATAGGCTCAGGTGACCTGACTTTGTTTAGGGGATGAAGACGGATGGATGTTGCAATGTTTCCGTCCAGTTTCACATTAGTTGCAGAGCACCTCAGAGTCACTGCTCTTTGTCTTGCACTAGTGGGTCACCTGCACTGACTGATACAAGCTAATCCTCAGACTTTTACTTTCCCAAAAATCAGAAGACTCCAATTTATTTGATTGCAAAATCTTTCCTTTTTTGTAAAGTTTGCACAAAACATAAATGAAAAAAAGTGCTGACTCCTGCTTGGTGTCAGGAAAGCATGTGGGGAAAAAAAATACTCGTTAAGTTTCTTTGGCAAGAAAACCGAAAGTCAGGAGGAGTTAAGCTGTAATTGTCCTGCCACGTGCCAACATTTCCTTGTTGTTGTGCCAACTTTCACCCATTTCCAGTCAATGAGCCCAGAGAACACTTTCAGTTTCGCCTGCTCACCTGTATAAATGCACCTGTAGCTCTCCTCCTCACACCATCGCCTCCTCTGCTCTCCTGAAGAGACTCTCTCAAGCAGCCAACCGCAGCAAACCTACGAAGAATCAGAGACATGGCCTCCCGAGTTGCAGCTCTGCTCTTGCTGGGCGTCCTCTGCTTTAGCTTTGCATCAGGTAAGACAGAGAGAAAACAGGTGCAGACTGCATGACATCTCAGATTTAAACTATCACATGTCTAAAACTCTTCTGCCTGTTAAACTTACATCGGTGTTCTGCGTGTCCTTACAAGTCTCCTCTTGTAATGTCTCCCTGCAGGTGAGATCGCAATGGACTGCTGTCTGCAGGCTATCGACAAACGTTTGCCCTCCAAAAACATCGTGGACTACATCATTCAGGAAGCTGGGAAAGGCTGTGAAATAAGCGCTACTGTGTAAGTGTCAAACACGTGCACAACATTCATGCATATGCATTAAGTAGTGAGTGCATTTGTGCAGGGAGGCTTTCCTAAAGACCCACAGTATCTGGTTTACCTGTATTTGCCTCATCTCACTTCACGATCTCATCTGCTTTTTCAGGTTCATCACCAACAATGGCAGAACTCTGTGTGTCATCCATCCCAGCCAGAAACCGTGGGTGAGAAATCTCATCAGTATCGTGAACAAGAAAAAGCAACAGTAAATGAGGTGAGAACGAAGCGATTTCCTCACTCCATCACATGTGATTTTTAAAAGTTATTCCCCGTGCACCGGCTAATCAATGAATCTCCTGCTTTTCCTTAGATGAACAAACTCTGGGAAGGATGGATGGAGACAACCAGATCTCATAGTCTGTGATGGCAATGTTGCACTGTAGGAGATTAAAACCTGTTAGAGCGATTACGGAGAAATCATCATTTCATCTTATTTATAATGCTGTCCTGTATAAGCTGCCATGCCTCAGCCATCGGCTCAATATATAGCTACATGTGTGTTTCTTCTGTTTTTTTGTGGTGACTGCGGTGAAACTGTGGTGAAAGTCGAACTCTGAGACGAGCAGCTGTGGACGTCTCTTTTTTCTTTCTTCCTTTTTGTTACGAATGATCCATAGAAATAGAAAGATTTGCCTGAACTTGCCCTGAAACTGAGAGCAGTGTTACAATCCTGTTTCTGTCAAAGTGCCTGTGAATGACTCGCATTGCTGTTTTTGGCTTGTATATATCAAACGTACTGCAGAGAATTATCCCAAAATAAACTTGGATATTATTTTGTAAATTCTCGTTGCTGTCTTTTTCTTTATGACTAAATCGTCTGTTTCTCTAACAAATCATTTAAGAAAAGAAAAACAAAAGTTGTTACGTTTTCTAATTACACACACACACACTTCATTCACACACCAGAGAGCAACGTGGGATTCTGTATCTTGCCAAAGGAAATTTGGCATGCAATTCCAATTCCTTCCAATTAGCATATGACCTGCTCTTCCTCCTGAGCTACAGCAACGCCAAAGTAAAATTCAAAGAATTAAAAAGCCCAAACAATAAAACAGAATAACGCGATAACTGAGAGTGAATGAAAACAAACTGAGCCATATGTGCTCAGTTAAAAGACGTGTGATGGTGGCGTGAACATGAGCTCCTTATCAGGGTGTATTTAGCGGTATCTCACTCTGCACCTCTGTCAGCGAGATGTGTTATCCAGCAGCCACACAGGTGTTACCTGCTGATATGTAGAACTGGTGTCGTCTCTACAAGTGCCAGAAGAACTATGAACACACACATCATATCATATCATATATCATATTTCTATACTAGAGTGAGTTTACATGATTATGATCAAAATAAACAAAACAAACTCCTCATATACTGGGTCTTGCAGCAGAAACACGTCCTTTAAGCTGTCTTCTGATTTGCTTGTACTTGCAAACAGAAGGTCAGAACAGCAAGCAGCTGAGTGTTCTGTGCTTACAGCCACAGCTGTGGCTAACAGCTAAGAGTAGGATAACCATCTACAGTTGAGTGTTTTGGGCTTTTGGAGTATTTGCATATGACCTAACCTCTTTCCCAAACAGTAGATTCTGTTAATCTGGACGTCGGGATGAACAGAATCTAATCAGAATCAGAATCCTTACAGCAGGCAGCACGCTAATGGCGCATGCGCACTTACAAAGGAACCTTCTGACCAAACTTTACACAAACAACACATTGGGAAGACATGTCAGAGAGGTGGGCTGATGGGAAAAGACAACGAAAATAAATAACATGAGGTGAGAGGAAGAGAAAAAAACTCCACTCAGAGTGAGCTCCTAATGGGGGAACAGTTTGATAACAGAAAAAAACACCCACAAAAAGCACATGACTATCAATACACCACAGATACACAAGACAAGCAATATATATATGTCAGTGTGTTTGTGTGTGTGTCCAGAGTTCAGCTGAGACAGTGTCCTTTGCCCTGCCAGGCTAAGTAAACAGTCTTCCAGCCGACCCAGGTGGCCTTGCGTAGGGGAGGAAGAAACAGTCTAAGCAGAGTCTGTAATCAGGGTGTTTTTGTTCAGCTCCAGCCTTGAGACCACAGCTGTCGCAAAAGCGGTAGCTGCATTAAATGCTGGTTTTTACTTTAGTGCGAACAACTCGTATGAATTTCAAAGCTGTTCTAGCAGTTAGATAAACATCTAAATGTCAGCTCGAGCTACACTTGTCATCCTTTTTTTAAATGTGATGTTGATGATGTGTGAGAGGTTAGCGGTGGTTACAGGTGTTTACTAGGGGTGCAACGATACACAAAATTCACGGTTCGGTTCAATACTTTGGTGTCACGGTTCGATATTTTTTCGATACAAAAAAATGTTCATGCCTTTTTAATTTGTCATTTATTAAAATTATAAA